AGAAACCACTGAGCAAAACCCCCAGAGATACTGGGAACAACAAAGTCGTGGCAGACGAGTAGGCTCAGGTACGGTCCACCCTAGGTGGCAGGGCAAGGGCCTGGTCACAGGTCTTATGACTGAAAAGGGAATGGTAGTGGGAGAGCTTAACATGACCTAGCCTTGAGGATGAAGGAGAACCAGAAGGAAGTCAAATCTTGCCCTTATCTGGCCTGGGACATTATGGTAAGTGATCAGTAAGTAGTACTGATTAGTAGTATGAGAGAAGTAGGAGAACTAAAAACACGTCAGATAATGCAATGATGGAACTGTTCCTTTTACTAATTTGGCTAGAACTCTGCATTTGATAAAGCTTTGAGAAAGTCAGCTAAACCTGTGAGAAATAGGGATTTTTTTAACTGTTTAGCTGTCAGTCATTAGCTCCTTCCTTCAGCTGGCCTTACTGTTCCCTTGATTCTAGAGAGCACGGACAACGTCAGATGCACAGTGTCACTCGTCCTGATCTTATAATCACACAGGCTGTAAAAATGACCTTGACATTACACACTCGGTCCTTCCCCCTAAAGTAAATAATCTTAGTCCTTAAAAAAAAAAGGCTTCTCTGAAGGCCGTCATGCTATCCAGGTGATATTGAGAGACAAATAGATGAATTACTCCTATATACATATTAGTAAAAGTAGGGTTATCTTAAATATTTGCCTCCATTGACTTAGTTAAATATTCCTTATAGTTTTACACAGAAGAAAGATGGCTCAGGCAAGCTACTCAAACACAAAAGACAACAAAAAGTAAATGAGCACTTCTCTTCTCTTTCTCACTCTTACTTGGCTGTCACTTTGTCCCTTCACTTTACTAATCCAGGGTTTGGTTTGGTTTGTGTTTTTTCTTTTTAGGAAACTGTTGGCTTTTAGAACTTCATCCTTTATCATTTGGTCCTGGATTTTTCTCCTCCCCAAAGGTTTCCTTTAGGTGGCCTGCTGTGGTTAATATTCGGCTTGCTCATGTCTCTTGCACCTAATTGCCGTTCTATCTCTGGTCTCTCTCTCTGGCTCTCCGGCATTCTGCGGATAGCGTAAGAGAAGGATAAAAGGGTGGGGAGGAGGAGACTCATTCCATGTGTACTCTAATGTAGTAAGATTTGCCATAAGGTTTGACAGAATAACCTCAGCTAGGCAGACAGACACACAGATGTGAAAAAGTTTGTATTTCGATAAAATAGGCCCCTTAGGTATCACTCAGACTGAGTCTTATGCCAATAAACCTTTACTTCTAAAAGGAGGTAAGAGGGAGAAAATAAGTGATAATCATTTCAAAAGTTAAATGAAAGCCTCTGTAATCTGTACTACTTAAAAATACCCATAGGTAAACAAGGAGAAATATGGGAGGAGGTCACACCCCCTTGCCACTTGTTCAACTAGGTTTGAGATTTTGTAGCCAAAATATTCTCAGCCAACAGCTGCAGAACTCACACATTATTACCATACCCCACAAGGGCACCTTATTTGTACCTTTACACACAAACACAAATTATTCAAACTGAACAGAGAAGTAAGTGTGAGTATCCAATTAAAAAAAACAAACCCAACACGAGTAAGCCTACATCTGTCCTTTTATAAGAGACTGGTAGCAATCCAGTTTATCTGCCTTCTTTTAGTTGCACATCATATGGGAACATTGAT